AAAAGTAATAATTTTTTCATTAAAAAAAATGAAATTTAATAATTAAATAAATGTCATATATCACGCCTTCCCGTGTGGAAAAGTCGACTGGGCCCCAATCTGGTCCAGACTGGGTTTCCCAATGTCCAAATTGGGCAACCCACACAACGCCGAAACTGGGCGCGTAACGCTGATCCCAAAGATTTCCCAAGGTTGGGAAATCCCAGCTGGGGCTAGATTGAGTTATTCCATTTTTATTTATAATTGTTAATTAATAATTATATAAATAATTTAACAACAAAAGAGTAAATTAAATGAATAAATATAATTTCCTTTTAAATGAAATTGTATTAAAGATGACGACTAACAAACAATGTATATAGTAAAAAAAGTAAAAAAAATATTTAGGGGAATAGTGTCAGGATTGGACACTTGGCTTTTTTTAAATAAGAACACTAGCGCCACCTGTGTGCGTACGTGACGAATCTTCTAGTAGTGTAACCTAACTTTTTGTGGCATTATATTTTTGGAGAATCAAAAGTAGCGTCTCCTGTGACTTCGGTGCAATCGAAGAGACAAAAAAAGTTTTGTTTGACTTGTGAATAAACCTAAAAAATGTGTAAAAAAGCAAGAATTCGGCAAGGTAAGCTTATTGAATGTATTGTGGGTTACATGATTTAAGAAGAAAAAAAGTGAAAAATCGAATCGCGACACATGTCTGGTTATGGTTAGCACAATTCGAAAATGATGCTTCTAGTTAGGGTTGGACACAATTTATAAATAAATAATTATAAATTTTTTTTTATTGATATTTCAGTGCAAAATTGTGCCAAAGATATTAGAAAAATAATACTTAAATTGTATAAATTTTGTTCATCATTTCATTGAGTTATTTGGAACAATAAAGCGTTATTTTTTGTAATTTGAGTTCATTCCTTTTTTAAACCCATGAAGCTTTACAATTTGTAAACAATAAGTAAAGATGAACATGAAAAAATAAGAATAAAAAACATTACAAATGTTATTTTACGTTTTTACCAATAATGCGTTTCGATTTTCAAAAAGTGTCCAACCCTGACTGAAAAGTCCGCAACCCTGACTAGGTTTTTTTTTTGAATGTTTATAACTTTTTTAATTTTGGACCAATCAATTTACGGTCCACAGCAAAAGTGTTCCTCTTTTGTAGATCTTTCCACCCATATACCACAATTGACTGAATTTATCTAAACAATATATTTATAAACAAAAAACCAAAACTGTGTCCAACCCTGACACTATTCCCCTAATTTAAAAATTAAATAATAGTGTATGTATTAGATTTTCAAGTTTTGCTACAACTTCTAAATGAAAATCTAGAAATAACGCAAACCTATGAAATAAAGAAAACTGCGCACGAGGGGAATCGAACCTTAGACCTACGAACTTATAGATTAACGCTCTAACCACTATGCTAACGACGCGCACCTACAGACAAGATTTAATTTCTCAGTATGATTTATATCATACAATTATTGAATGAAAGATGTGAAAAATATGATTAGGTTAGACAATAAATTAAAATATAATCACTTACTTAATTTCATTTATTTTCATTTAACATTTTTACCAGTAATAATTTGAATTAATAAGTACCAAAGTATAGTTGTCGTTGAAGTGAAAATTTTATTTAAATAATTTATTAAATTAGAAAATTATGTTCAATTATTATTAATAAATTGAATAAAAATAGGAAATAAATGATTGAGAATGGGGTCAGAGTCAAAAAAGTCAAAAAGACTCAAAAAACGACTAAGTTATTATTATTAATTAGCTTAGTTAAATAAATTAAAAACTAAGAACTTGACATACATTTTATTTATTCAGGGAAGGTATTATTTAAGCATTAATATAATTAACTAAAGTTTTCAATTTTCTTATTTTTCCTTAAATTTGAATTTTGCCCATATTGGCTTTTGGAAAAATCTCCAAACGGCATATAAATTAAATATAAATATAATTAACTAGTTTTATTATTTCTCATTTTTTCTCAAGTTTTTTATTTATTTATAACAGAATATTAAATTAAATTTCAGTTTGGGAATATACTTTGGGAAATCCCCGTTGGGGCCAGGTTGGGTTGACCCAAACTTTGCCCAAGTACAATGAAAAACAAACATTTTTTTCACCTTTTCACAGTTGCACTTTTTTGTATATTTGTTCAGCATATTATTTAAATAATAATTTAATTAACTTAATTCTTTTATTTCTTCATTTTTCAAACTTTGGGAAGCCAAGTTGTGCCCAGATTGGCGCCCAGTCTCACTTTAGGCGACTTTGGGAAGATTTCCACACGGGTATGATCTCTTTATGTTCGAATTGCGTCCCGAGCTGTTAAAGGCTGTGTTTGAATTGCATGCTGTTCCATCCCTATATATTTCGGGTAACCAAATTTTTTAGTTAATGGACATGAAATATTTAATATGGTTGGATTAGCCAGAATTCTGGCATTAATCACGAATAATTTCTTTCAGTGGCAAGATGAGAAATCGATGCATGATAACTAGAACAAATGATAAATAATGAGAGAATAGTTGAGTTAAAGTTAAAGAAGCTGGGTTTGAATTAATATTTATTTTGACGAAGCTAAACTAGAACGGGAAACGGAAGTCCGGAACTGGTGGATAATAGAATAATTAGATTAAAAAATAGTATTTGGTTAAGATGGAATAAGAATTTGTAAATTAAATTAAGATATTTTGTAATATGGTTCCTCGAACCCTTCAAAATTTGTCAGGGAAAGTAAAAATGAGTATATGGGCGATATCACGTGAGATTTCCGTCGACCCTTTAAATTGTTCTGTAATAAAAAAAAAGAGATACCTACGTATTTTTTTATTTTTTTTTTCTAAAAAATTTTCGAGTTATGAATTTTCAAAATTTCAGTTTTTTCAATGTAGACCTATTTTCAATGGCTGATAACTCGAAAAAAATGAATTTTTTCAATTTTTACTAATAAAAGAAAAGTTTTAGATTTTCTTTTACTTTTCAATAATGATAACAAAAAATTTTTTTTTTATTTTTTTATTTAAAAAATAACAATTTTTTATAAACAAATTAAGTTTTTTTAAATTTGGATATAAATTAAAAAAAATTTTTTTTTAATATACCTAGAAATACTAAGGAGATTTTGCAAAAAAATTTAGAGTGGGCCGATAAGTTTTATTGGTTTAAATAAACATTTAAACACCGCGTGCAGTATTTTGCGCATTTTTGATAATTAAAAAAAATTGTGAAATTGTTAAAAAAATTTTTTTTTTTATTTTTCATAGTGAAATATCATTTCAGGTTCCAAAAAAAATTAAAAAAGGGCACTGCCCGTTAACTACAAATAAATAAATAAATAAAAAAATAATTTTTAACAATTTTAAAATTTTTTTGCAATTTTGCATATTTCTGAAAATTACAAAACATTGTTAAAAATTATTTTTTTTCATTTTTTTTTTTGGAACCTGAAATCATATTTCACTATGAAAAATTGGGGAAAAAATAATTTTTAACAATTTTATAATTTCTTTTAATTTTCAAAAATGCGCAAAATGCTGCGCGCGGTGTTTAAATGTTTATTTAAACCTATAAAACTTATCGGTTTATTTAAAAAAAAACTTAATTTGTTTATAAAAAATGAAAAAAAATTTTTTTTGTTAACATTATTGAAAAGTAAAAGAAAAACTGAAACTTTTCTTCTTTTAGCAGAAATTGAAAAAATCTATTTTTTTTTGAGTTATCAGTCATTGAAAATAGGTCTACATTGAAAAAACTGAAATTTTAAAAATTCATAACTCGAAAATTTTTCAGAAAAAAAAAATAAAAAAAATACGTATCTCTTTTTTTTATTACAGAACAAGAAAAAAATATATTTGACCGAATTTAAAGGGTCAACGGAAATCTCACGTGAAATCGCCCATATATACATATATATTTATAGGTCTAGTAAATATTTATTGTTTTCAAAGAAATATTTAATGGATAAGATGTATGTCAATTATTTATTTAAAAAATTAATTGAACAAAATAATTTTTATTCGCTCCAAATAATTTTTATCATTGTTTAAAAAAATGCATATGTGACCATATTTTGTTTTTGTTATTAATAGCAAAAAAAAAAAATATATTTTACTACCAAGGGTAATTTTTTCTTTTTGTTAGACCAGTTTTATTTATTTTTTTTATCCATTTTAAATATTCATATTAATATCAATTTGTGACTCTTGTTTCATTTGCTTGAAATTCGTCCCCCCCCCCTCTCTCTCTCTCTCTCTCTCTCTCTCTCTCTATATATATATATATATATATATATATATATATATATATATATAAAAGCATAGTGACAATCACGTCAAACGTCAGTGATTTTCAGAGTAAATTAAAAATGGAAAGCGATTTCGTAGAGACCACTCACAGGAAATGAAGAACAATATGGTTATCTAGTATCAGAAAATGTCGAAAAAAATTTAATATTGAAACGAAAAGACGCCGTAAGTTATGTGGATAGATAAATATTTTAATAGATCATATATATTTTTATCGCAAAAAATTATTTGTACTATTTGTTTTTTAATTACTATTATTTATAATATATTTGTATTTTTATATTATAAAATAATATATGATTAATTTTTTTTACTAATTATACCTATTAATTAATTGTAATTTTTATTATTATTTATTATAATAATAATAAGTATTAAATTTATTATTTAAAGAATATTATTGTCTTTTTTGTAATATTTAATAAATTTATTTTAAAATGCAATTAGAGAAATTTAAATTTTTTTACCAAATGGAAATTATTATGGAAATTAATTCTGATGGAAATATCTATATTATTCAAAAGAGTAATAAAACTGAATTTACAGATGAAAATTTTGTTGCGAGGATATTATATATTAACAAGATTATGAAATAATGAATTACTAATATGAAAAAACTCTTTTACCTATATATATGAATATGAATAATAATAATAATAATATAACAATATGAAAAGAGAAATTCTTTTTTTTTATTATATTTGTTTCTTAAAAATACATTCAACATGCAAACACTTTTTTTTTCGTATTTTTTCTTTGGTCACAAGTAACACTTTTTATTTATAAAAAAAATTGTTTATTATTATAGTTGAATGTCTTTTTGTTGTTGTTCGTTTTGATTTGTTTTATTTTCAAAAATTATTAATTTATTTTCATGTTTCACTACACTTAATGCAGTTACACTTTCAACTCCTCTTGTACTGTCGATTCCTCTCATATTTCTTCTTGAATCTTGTATTCCAAACATGGTTTTCATTGATAATACAAATTGCTTATTTAAACCTGCATAAATAATTGGATTATAGCAAATCGATGATTTTGCTAAGATTGCTGGCACCATTGCTGCCTCGGGTGAAAGTTTCATCTATAATAGTCATTAATATTATGTTATTATAATTCTCTAATTCTCAAACGTGAATATTGTATTTTATTTATTTAATATATGAAATTAAATTATTAAATTCTTAAAAATTCGGATAATTAACAGTTGAAATTATCAAAAAAAAATAGAAGGGGTTGTTAAAATTCTATTGTCTAATTGATCGAATTTTCAAATATTCAAATTACCAAAGAATCGAATTTCTAAAAATTCGAATAACCAAAAAATCGAATTTTAAAAAGTCTGAATTTATCAAAGGATCGAATTTCTAAAAGTTCGAATCATTATTTGATCGCAAATTACCAACGTCTTTTTTAATTAATTAAAATATATTTTATAAGATTTTTATTTAGTATTTATTTTGTACTTAAACACACTGAAAAAAAATTTATTTGATTCAAATACTTGATTACTTGACTATTATCAAATAAATATTTACTTTAAGGCCATGTAGGAAATACCCACGTGACCCCCATGCATAAAACATGGTATCGTATTACCAAGTTTTCTCTAAAATGGTAAAAAAATTTTGGTTGAAATTTGGAAAATATTATAGAAAATAGCATTCAGAATGGCGCTGTTCTCGATTCGAAGCACAATTTTGCGTTTAAGTATGAAAAATAAAAGTTTGGAAATTCCCATTTTTGAACGAAAGTTGAAGTCAACATGGCGGGGGTACACACAGACGTCGCGTGAATGTATCAGTGGTCCAGGAACTAGCGCCAATTCGAGTTAGTGGCCGCTCAAAGAAATAACAAAAGCCCATTAATTCCACTATTAGGGGCCATTCATTAATTACGTAAGGCTCTTAGGGGGGGGGGGGGGGGTCCAGCAATTCTTACGTTCAATAGAAAAAATGGCGCTAATGCATGTAAAAAATCTTACGTGGGGGGAGGGGGGGGGTAAAAATAGCCAAAATCATCCTTACGTAATTAATGAACGACCCCTTAATTGAGCACCTGGAAATAAGAACTCGCCAAGCGCTCGGCTGCACGCTACAAAGCCAGTCAAACATACAAAAATGATGAAAAAATAAAATTCGAAATTTTTGATTTTTGAAAAATGCTATCTTGTAGGAAATGAAAAGACGCATCTTTTTTTCCTCTGGATTTTTCTCGTCAAATGAATAGTTTAATTAATAATTGTAAAAAACTAATAAATTTTTATTTCCAAATTTCATTCAATTTTTAAACATAAATCATCGTATCTTCGACAAATATTAATCAAATCCAATGAGATTTTGCATACTTCCGCGTTTGGGTCCATAGATGACGATAGTCTAAAAAAAATGTTGAAATTTTTTCAATTGTTGACCAATTTTTAATTATAAACAAATACCTGTCGGTAATCATACTCAGTTATCTTCGCCGACAAAAAGTCTGCGGGGAAGTTCATAGTTGAAAGAACTTCCAGTGAGACATTTGTGTATTAGGATATAATGAAGTTTTCTGTAAAGTTTCAAGTAGATTAATTCAATAGTTTAAAAAATATTGAATTTTTAAGATTGCGCGTGTGGCGCGCCAACGAGTAGGCAAGTGAATAGCATCGCTGAGCAGTTCATTATATGAAAAATGACCACTTTCTCAAATCTTTTTTCTCTTAATTTCATTATTATTATAAATAAATTGTTTTAAATTATGTTAAACAATTGAATTTATTGCTACTGGGTTAAATTTATTTTATGTTAATGTGATAAAAACATACGAATAAAATAATATTTTCAAAATTATATAAAAATTTGTGCAAAAATTATTAAGATATTATTTAAATAAAGTGTTATATGTGTAAAATTTTACAATTAGCTAATTCTTTAAATAATTTTTTTAAGTACATTTTCTAATTTTCATTTTATCAGTTGAATTCAGAATTTATATTGTCTATTTAAAATTTTCTATTAACAAGTTATTGTTGATAGTTTGTAATTGTTTTGTTGTTGATATGTTATTCATCGATTGTCTAATTAACTATATTGTTAAAAATTTTGACTACTTATAGTTATTAATATTTTGTATTAATAATATGTACATTTTGAATACTTATAAGACATTCTAATTTTTATTATTGAGTTGTATTTTTAAATATAAACAAATAAATATATATATACACATGATAAATACTAAAAAAAATATTATTTATCAAGCCAATTTAAAACAATTTATATATAATAATAATGAAATTAAGAGAAAAAAGATTTGAGAAAGTGGTCATTTTTCATGTAATGAACTGCTCAGCGATGCTATTCACTTGCTTTCACTATCAAAAAATGTATTTCTCTCACATGGCCTTAAACCAAATAATTTTTATTTGAATTAAATAAATTGTATTTAAACCAATAATTTTTTTATTTAAAAAAATATCAATTAGAAGGTTTCGTATAAATAAAAACGATAACATTCGGACCATTGTTGTTTAATAAAAGTTTACTCCAACGTTTCGAAATCTAAATGATTTCCTCCTTAGGGATTCAAATTATAATAATGTCTAACTCCAAAATTTAAGTTTCTCCAACGTTGGAGTAAACTTTTATTAAACAACAATTTACAATGGTCCGAATGTTATCGTTTTTATTCATACCGAACCTAATTGTAATTAATAGAATTCTCGGACGTTAAACATTTTAACAAATATCTTTTGATTGACTTAAATAGTAATTATTTGATACAAATAAATATTTATTTGATGATAATCAAGGAACCGATTATTTTAATCAAATAAATTTTTTTTCAATGCATAAAATTAGAATAAACTAAAAATAATTTCCAAACAATTAAATTTAAAAATTTTCAAAACTAAATTGTCAATTGCTGAAATTTTGCACCGGAATAATAACAAAACATAACCACAATCATGGATTTACTTTGTTCAAGAATTGTGGTGTACCAGTTAATTATAACAATTCTTGAAATAGAATACATCCATGATTGAGGTTATGTTTTGTTATTATTCCGGTGCAAAATTTTAGCAATTGGCAATGATGTGACATTTCGTTTTGAAAATTTTTAAATTTATAATTGTTTGGAAATTATTGTCAGTTTATTCTAATTTTATGCACTGAAACAAAATTTATTTGATTCAAATAATCGGTTACTTGATTATTATCAAATAAATATTTATTTGTAGGGGAATAGTGTCAGGGTTGGACACTTGGCTTTTTTTAAATAAGAACACTAGCGCCACCTGTGTGCGTAAGTGACGAATCGTCTAGTAGTGTAACCTAACTTTTTGTGGCATTACATTTTTGGAGAATCAAAAGTAGTGTCTCCTGTGACTTCGGTGCAATCGAAGAGACAAAAAAAGTTTTGTTTGACTTGTGAATAAACCTAAAAAATGTGTAAAAAAAGCAAGAATTCGGCAAGGTAAGCTTATTGAATGTAATGTGGGGTACATAATTTAAGAAGAAAAAAGTGAAAAATCGAATCGCAAAACATGTCTGGTTATGGTTAGCACAATTCGAAAATGATGCTTCTAGTTAGAGTTGGACACTTTATACAGTTAAGGTTGGACACAATTTATAAATAAATAAATAATTATAAATTTTATTTTATTGATATTTCAGTGCAAAATTGTGCCAAAGATATTAGAAAAATAATACTTAAATTGTATAAATTTTGTTCATCATTTCATTGAGTTATTTAGAACAATAAAGCGTTATTTTTTGTAATTTGAGTTCATTCCTTTTTTAAACCCATGAAGCTTTACAATTTGTAAACAATAAGTAAAGATAAACATGAAAAAATAAGAATAAAAAACATTACAAATGTTATTTTACGTTTTTACTAATAATGCGTTTCGATTTTCAAAAAGTGTCCAACCCTGACTAGATTTTTTTTTTAAATGTTTATAATTTTTTTAATTTTGGACCAATCAATTTACGGTTCACTGCAAAAGTGTTCCTCTTTTGTAGATCTTTCCACCCATATACCACAATTGACTGAATTTATCTAAACAAAATATTTATAAACCTAAAACCAAAACAGTGTCCAACCCTGACACTATTCCCTTATCAAATAATTATTATTTGAGTCAATTAAATGATATTTGATTCAAATACAATTTATTTAATTCAAATAATTATTTATGGTTTAAAGTTAATATTTATTTGATAATAGTCAAGTAATCAAGTATGTGAATCAAATAATTTTTTTTTCAGGTACAAAATAAATACTAAATAAAAATCTTATAAAATATATTTTAATTAATTAAAAAAGACATTGTCACATTTTTGTCAATTTTGCAAATTTTAATTGCTGTGTTTTTTTTCTAATTTCTAACGATAATATTGAAATTTTAATGAAAATTAACGGTTGACAATAATTAAATTAAATATTATTATAAGTGCTACTAAATTTTAGAAAAAAAACAAATTTTTCGGGATGAGATATTTTTTTATCTGCAAAAATAACTATTAAATTATTATTATTTTTTTTTTTTAAATAAAAGAAAATGTTTTTCTTTATTTTTAATTTTTAATTAAAAATCTTTTCTTCATTATTCGTGAGAGCAATTTTCCATCTCATTTCACAAATATTTATTGTTCTTTTTGAAGTGAAAGCGATCTTTTGTTAATTATAAAAATTAAGATTTAAAGAGAAATTTCATATTTTTTCTTTCCTCTAATGAAGATTTACAAAAAATTAATTGGTTTCTTTTATTATTAAAATAGTTTTTAATTGTAGAAACTTGTTTATTATTATTAATTTGTTTTAAATTACATATATTATTAAACTTGAGTCAATTAAATGGTATTTGTTTGAAATACAAAAATTATGAATTACATTTTAAAAAAAATTTCAATACTTTTTATTGAAAAATAAGAATTTTGAAAATCTAAGAAGTAAAAATTATAAATGAAATGTTATGCCTAATAATTATTTTTATAGAAAATTTTCTACTTACATCAAAATATTGTGCTCCAAGAGCAGCAATGGAATATGGAGTCCAAGCAATCATAAAAGCAAAAATCATTAGAGCCACCATTTTTGTGACTTTGTTCTCCTGTCTTCGTCTCGACCCTAAAATTACAATAATAACTACACGTACAATCGTTATTGTTCCATTGAATTAGAATTCAATAAGAATTTTTCCGAATCATATTATACACAAAGAAAAATGTTCTATTCGAATCAAATGACATTTGCATTTGAATTAAATAAAAATATATAAGAGCTGAATAATGTTATTTAATTTTTTAGAAATAAAATTTTGTTTGAACGTAAATAAAATTTTTATATGAACCAAATAAAATTTATTAGAAGCAAATAAATATTTATTTAGCTCTGTGAGGAAAAATATTTTTTCGTCTGGGTGTATATTAACAAAATTCGGATTATATTTACATATTATATTATTATAACAGCACTGCAAAAATTGTTCGTCTTAAAAGTGTAAAAAACGTCAAATAATCGATTAGTTGACTATATTATATCAAATAAATATTTTCTTAAACAAAATAATTTTTATTTTAGTCAATTAAATGGTATTTGTTTCAAGTACATAAATTATTCGTTCAAATACAATTTATTTAAGTCAAATAAAAATTATTTGATTCAAGTAGGAGAATATAGTCAGGGTTGGACACTTCGCTTTTCTTAAAATAAGAACACTAGTGCCATCTATGCACGGACGTGGCGAAGCTTCTCGTAGTGAAACCTAACTGTTTGTGCCATTACATTTTTTGAAGGATCAAAAATAGCGTCTGCTGTGACGTCGTTGCATTTGTATAGGAACGAAAAAATTTTCGTGAGCGATGTGATTAAACATAAAAAATGAATAAAGAAAACAAGAAATCAGTAAGGTTAGTTTATTGCATGTATTGTGGGGTTCATGATTTAAAAAAAAGTGAAGTGTAAAATCAAATCGCGAAACATGTTTGGTTATGGTTATTACAATTCGAAAATATTACTTCTACTTAGGGTTGAACACTTTATACACTCAGGGTTGGCCACTTTGTTAATTATGAATTTGACAAAATTTATAAATAAATATACAAATAAACATTGACTCACACTCATCTGAACACACACACACACACAGCACATATTCTACACAGAAAAAAACTGAACTCAGAATGAGTCGTGTAGGCGGCTTATTTTGATGTGCAACAAAAATGAACCAGGCTAGTGGCGCCACTGTCTATGTCGGTTAGCATTGGCTCATTTTGATTTGCTTTAAAAATCAGACTAGGTTTTTTCTGTGTACCATAGATATTAGAAAAATAATAATAACGATAAAAATAAAAAAATGAACCTAAAAATCGTTTTCAGTAACGTTATAAATAATATTAAATTGTCAATTATAAATAATAATAATGTAAAAATGAAAAAATAAATATAAAAAACGTTTTCAGTAACTTTATAAATGTTATTTTATTTTTTTACCCATAATTCGCTTCGATTTTTACAAAGTATCCAACTTTGAGTATAATATCCAACCCTGACGAGATTTTTTTTTAAATGATCAGAACTTTTTTTATTTTAGACCAATCAATTTAAAATCTTCAGCAAAAGTGTTTCTCTTTTGTACATCTTTCTAACAAAATATAACTCAATTGACAAAATTTATTTAACCCTGAGTATATTCCCCTAAATATTTATTTGATATATTAATCAAATAACCGATTCTTCAAATCAGATAAATTTTTATTTATTTTTTATTAATTTTCTTTTTTGTTTTTTAAATTTGATGAAATATATATGTAAAATTTCTCACCAATTCTTCTCTTTACATTCCTTAATGTAAGAATAATAGAACCGTAACTTGATCCAATTACAACAACGGGAATAATTAAACCAAATAGGAAAAGATATGCTATGTAACTCCCAATGTATGTTTCAGGATTGTGTGTTTCCCAAGACACACTACAAGATATATTTTCAGCTTCTGGTCCATAACTTCCCCAGCCAAATACCGGTGGCAGTGATAGAGATAAAGCATAAATCCACACAAACAGTGACCAGAGAATGGCTTGTCTAAAACAGAAAGTTCCACTTATTCAAGTGATTTTTATTCTTCTCTTTATATATATATATATGAGAGATTCTTTTTCAATCGCCCCAGCCCAAAAAGTCAATGTTCTGGGATTGGCTTCATACTTTGGTAAATTGTTGTCCTATATGATAGTAATAAATCCCTAAAATATAAACTCATTAAAAAAATATTTGTAGAAAGTAGAGGGGGTTGAAGTTTTGACGTTAAGGGTAACATTGTCATTTTCAAATCCATATAACTATGACAAAAGTTAATGGATTTTAATTTATCTATAATGAATTTTATTACATTTTTCACGTACTTTTCAAAAATGTATACGAAATTTAAAAAAAAAAATTTTTAACCTCTTTTTTTCAAAATCAACCCTTATTTTTCGATTTTCACCCCTTCGGGTATTTTTTTTTTTTTTTTTTTTATTTTCATTGGAAAGCTGAGGTTTTTTCCGATGAGCTATGTAAATATGAAAATGGGACAACAATAATTTTGTGAGTAACAGAATATTAAAGTAGGCGGTGCCGATAAGGGTGCCGTTAAGGGTAACATTGTCATTTTCAAATCTGTAAAACTATGACAAAAATTAATGGATTTTAATTTATCTATAATGAATTTTATTGCATTTTTCACGTACTTTTCAAAAATGTATACAAAATTTAAAAAAAAAATTTTTGACCCCTTTTTTTTCAAAATCAACCCTTATTTTTCGATTTTCACCCCTTCGGGAATTTTTTTTTGTTTTTTTTTTATTTTCATTGGAAAGCTGAGGTTTTTTCCCATGAGCTATGTAAATATGAAAATGGGACAACAATAATTTTGTGAGAAACATAATATTAAATTAGGCGGTGCCTATCTAAATCCTCAAAGATGATCTCCAGGTACACCCCTTATCGGCACCGCCTACTTTAATATTCTGTTACTCACAAAATTATTGTTGTCCCATTTTCATATTTACATAGCTCATCGGAAAAAACCTCAGCTTTCCAATGAAAATAAAAAAAAAAAAAAAAAAAATACCCGAAGGGGTGAAAATCGAAAAATAAGGGTTGATTTTGAAAAAAAAGGGGTTAAAAATTTTTTTTTTTAAATTTCGTATACATTTTTGAAAAGTACGTAAAAAATGCAATAAAATTCATTATAGATAAATTAAAATCCATTAACTTTTGTCATAGTTATATGGATTTGAAAATGACAATGTTACCCTTAACGTCAAAACTTCAACCCCCTCTACTTTCTACAAATATTTTTTTAATGAGTTTATATTTTAGGGATTTATTACTATCATATAGGACAACAATTTACCAAAGTATGAAGCCAATCCCAGAACATTGACTTTTTGGGCTGGGGCGATTGAAAAAGAATCTCTCATATATAGGTATAATATATTTTCATTTTCATATTTCATTTCTTTAAAATTTATTCTTACTCTCTATATATTATAGTAAGCCTCATTATAGCATCACTTTTTTCTATTTTCAAATTGGGTTATCATCTGGGCATCGATAGTTTTCCCTATTTGAATAAATGTAGGCGAATGTAGTCATGAGTGGATCATGTTTTGTTTTTCTTTTATAACTTTTTTTTAGAGTAAATAATTAGCTAACTTCAGTACACCGTTGGATAGGTAATGAGAAAATTTACAAGTTACATGTATTTAGAATTTTTTTTTACTGTAAAAAAAAAAAATTTCTTGACGTTTTTTAAAAAGTGTTTTTTTCTAACTATTTTTTTTGTGTATTCATCAGTGGACCACCTTGGAAAAATCATCTTAAAACTTTTCAAAATTCATTAAATATCATACAATTTAAATAATTATTGAATAATTATTTATTTAAAATACTTTTTAATGAAAATGATAAAAATCAAACATTTTAATCATTAAATTCCCTTTTATTGCACTGTTTCGTGACTTTTTGTAACATTTTCCTATTTTATATGAAATTGGAACAAAATATCTTTTAAATGCAGAAACAAACACTTTAATTTAACTTTAGTGATTTGTATTTATTTAAACGTCAAATGTGTAATTGTGAAAAACTTAGGTGATCCACTTATGAAAATACACGGTTCCCAAAAGCAAAAAGATATTATTTTTAAGCTTTTGGAAAATGAGATGCCAAAACTTTTTCGCTACTTGTTAGGTATAATTTCGTGAAATTTATATTCAATATAATTTATTAACAGTGTGAAAAATTTAATTCGTTAACATTTTAAATAAATTATTTAAAAGGATTATAAACTATTATTAGATATATAAAAATGTAGAGATAATGTAATTATTTCGTTATCACAAAACAGAAAGTAATTCAGTCTCGAATCTTTAGGAAGAAGTGTTATACGTAAAAGATTTGTATGTCAGCCTTGCAGTGTGGTCAAAGTAAATGGCTCGCGTCCCAAAGGTCCTGAGTTCGATCCCCCATGCTTGCAAGATTTTTCAAAATTATTCTTTGTTTTATACACTGTACATGAGGGGTTCCATGCTAAAACCAACATATCGTTGACTTTGATCTCTTCAAATTGGCTGAAATTTTTTTTTATCGTTTTGTACCCTCCAAAAAAGAGCTTCATGATTTTTTTCAAATTTTTTAATCAAGCCGTTTAGGAGATATGAATTTTTCAAAGTTGGAGAATTTTAATGATTTTTTATTTTTGAATGCTCATAACTTCCTTAAAAATGAATCAATTTTACAAGTTTTTTTCCAAAATCTATGTTTTGAACTGAACTTTTCAAAAATTTCATGCAAAAAATTATAAAATTAAAATTTACTATATATTTTGCAATTTAAAGGTTAAAATCTTGTTTTAAAAAAAAAATTGATTTTTATGGTGACAAACATAAAAAAAGTCCTGAAATTTTTGTTTTTTATCGTTTATTCAGTAAAATATGCAAAATTTTCAAAAAATGTATTAGTTATCGTCGTTAAAGTCGACGATATGTTGTTTTCGCATGGAACCCCTCATATGTAATAATCTTAAAAAATTAGAAATAAAAAATTGTAAAAACTGTTATTTATTTATTATTATTATTTGAAATTATTACCGCTTTCGATTAAAAGTAATAATTTTTGTAAACAAGTAAAAAAATCTTTTACCTTTTAAGGATTAAATTGTTTCTTAAAAAATTGCAATTTTAATTTTTGAACAAGTTCTTCTGTGAATTTAATTAAAATTTCTTGTCTAAAAATCAGAATTTAAAATTATAAACTTACAAAAGATTATGAAAAATGTTGTTTCAATATTTAGTTTTCAAAAAAATAAAAAATTGTGTATAAGTTAACAAAAAAATGTTCATGTTACTTAAAAGAAACACTGATCCTTAAATTGTTAATAATTCTCCTTTGAATTTTCAATTTTTTTTTTTTTTTTTTTGGTTTATATTTTTGCAAATAATTAAATACTAAGTAATATGCAATTTTTTTTAAAAATTGTTTGACATATGAGATCCGTCATTTTGAATTTTTAAAAACCAACATCGGATGATTTTTTAAAATCTGTTTTCGATCTCTTGAATTATTTAGTTTCAATTCTCTTTCTCTGAACTATCAAAAGTGATTTTTTTCTTCTTCTGAATTAAATTAATTAATTAATTATTCAATATTATTATTATTATATTAATATATATATTATTATATTATCATTAAATAAATAAATAAATAAATTATTATATTATAAATATCAGAGAGGAATTGAGAGTAAGCACGTAATGCAAATCGCGCTTTTCTATTAAAGTCTGCCCCCTCGCGGTCAAAATATCGAAGCTTAGGTGGTTAGCTATTGGCGAAGCAAAATGATGGAGTCGCCGCCCTGGTGAATGGCGGGAGAACTAGAGTTAGTGGAAAAAATTCAAATAATGTATGGGAAAAAGATTAATTATTTAAATAATTAATTCACTAATTGTTATGTCACCCTAAATATTGTAGAATTGTACAATGTAGTTTTTAATTTATCCTATAGAAAAGAAATCTTTCAAAAAAAGCTTATCCTTTTTAAATTATAGCGCGTTGTTCACGATCAGTACAAACATACATATATATGTATATCATATATGCATAGAATCACTCTAAACGACTTAACTTAGTTTATGTTCCTTTGCTTTGATTACAAAAGTTTTGTAATTGTTAATAAATAACAAATTGGTGATTTTTGCTCATATTTGTTAAAAAGAAAATGAAAATGTCTACGGGGAAACGTAGAATGTGTTACGTACCTCAGTGCGAAGTCAAGGAGAGTATAACTGAAAACATAAGTTTTCACAAGTTTCCGAAAAATGAACGTCAAAAAAAGCAGTGGTTAAAAATATTAAAAATGAAAAGCGAAAGTATCACAAAACACACACTGGTGTGTAGTAAACATTTTCTAAAGCAGGATTATTTTATTAGTAAGTCAAAAATTAAAGTTACCTTTTATATTTAGTAAATTAAAAGGAAGTAAGTCTTTCATCGAAATTTTATGCAAATATTTTACTAATCACTACAATATTTATTTTAAAGATGCCAATGGATTCAGAAGAGATTTAAAGAAAAATGCAGTTCCTTCATTATATTTACCTGTTACTTTAATTACACAAAAAATAAAAAATCAAAACACAATGAAGGAAAGAGAGATGCGAGTAATGAAACGTAATAACTCTAAGAGGTAAAATATTTATTTTCCATATGTTATTAATAAAGTTTTTTGATTAAATTTGAAATGAAAATTATAAATAAAAAATACTTATATATATATATATATAAAAGTGTTTGAAAAATAGAAAGCAAAACTTACAAATTATTCTTTTTTTAATGATTCGTTCTTTTATCGATAATTTTATTTTGTAGAGTACAATTTGAAAAATCATATTTTTCATTAGAACTGTAGGGTCAGTTAGGGTAATTAGAAACGAAAGATTTTTGAGCTTAATTTACATACAAATAAATAAATAACACTGAAAAATTAAATTATTTTTTATTTGTTTTTAATTGAATTTTTCACACTGTTTAGGTTTTTGAATTTGCATAAACTGCAACGTCTCCATAGAGATGATGAAGATATAGTCGATGTTAAAATGCATACAGAGTTGAAGGTGAATGATAACATTGAAAAGTCTATGGAAATTCAAGTGCAAAAGTGTAGTATGTGTCAAGGTACAAGAATAAGTACGGGTAATATGAAGACAATTGAAAAAGTTATGTTTGACAAAGAAGTTCAAACGGAAAAGGAAACTTGCGACAAGTCTCTCCAAGTACAAGAAAGCTTCATTTTTTCCGATTTCTTAGACACAGACACTAAATTAAATACTGTCTCAGGTGTAACATCCTTCGATAATTTCGCCTATTTAAAATCTTCAATAGAAAAAGTGAAGAAAACAAATCAAATGGGAAAAGCGACTTCCAAATTGAATTTAAAAGACCAAATTATTTTAACTTTAGCAAAGTTGAAGTTAAATTTAAGTTTCGCTTGTTTAGCCATTCTTTTTAGGGTATCTCGCCAAACATGCAGAAATGAATTCTATACCATGCTAGGATTACTAAGTGCGTGTTTGTCGCCTCTTATTCGATGGCCTCCAAAAAATGAAATTTTAGAAAATATGCCAAAATGCTTCAAATTTTTTCCATCGACACGAGTTATTTTTGACGGAACCGAAATACCCATTCAAAAAAGAAAATGTTTAAAATGTAGAATCGCGACTTATTCACAGTATAAAAGTGGACATACTGTTAAATTTATTGTAGGAATAACTCCATCAGGTCTAATATCTTTCGTCAGTGATTCATATGCAGGACGTGCCTCCGATAAACAAATAATTGTTGAATCTGGTATTCTTGATAAATTGATTCCTGATGAAGATAGTGTAATGTGCGATAAAGGTGTGTTAATCCAAAATGAGTGTAAAAAGCGTAAAATTAAATTAATTATGCCCTGCTCTAAGAGTAAAATTGTTGTACAATTCTCACCACAGGAAGCGAATTTAAATCAAAAAATTGCTTCAGCGAGAGTACATGTAGAAAGATCGATTCAACGTTTAAAAATTTTCAAAATTTTGAAAGGTCCCTTAAGTTGGGATGTAGTTTCTTGGAGTCCTGAAATAATGCGTGTTATCTGTGGACTTGTAAACCTTTCACCTCCGATATTAAAAGAAGACAAGTTTTAATAGGAAAAAAGTTTTTTCGTTCTTTTTTATCTTAAATTTCATTTTTATTGTTAAGTGTATTCTGCATATTAAAAACATTTCTAAAAAATAAAAAGTATAAAACTTTAAAATTTGAGAAATTTTTAAAAACTTATATTGCATTAAACCCTCGGTAAATTTAATTTTTTACTGGTTTCTCTCACTCGAGCCATATGTATTGCTGCCTCATATAGTGGTACTCCTATAAGCAGCAACATATAAAAAATAAAATAACCAAAATTGCACTTTTATTAAAAAATTTAATGTTATTTTTTCAAAAAAAAATTAAAATGTTAAAGTTTTTGAAAATGTTGATACATTGAGTTTTGAAAATTTTTAAATACATAAATAACATTGAATATATATCTTGGAAGAATTGATATACTTTCCAAGTTATTAAGGACGTTTATTCTAGAAAAGCAGATTTTCAGAAAAAAATTTACAATTGTTATTTAAAAAGTAGAAATATTATTATTATTTTCTGAAAGAATAAATGTCAATTTTCTAGAAAAAAATTTAATTATTTAAACATTATTCAAGTAATCAAAACATTTTCATATCGCTTTTTGCCGATTTTTTAAAAATGATTCGATTTGAATCAATGATGGTTTATTTTCTCTATAGAAAATAATAGTAATTTGTTTCAAAAATATTTCACTCTTTTTGAACAAATGACTATATTTTCAAAACGGTAAATTTGTAAAGAATCATTTTCTGAAAAATAAGCAATCATTGATTCAAATCGAATCATTTTTAAAAAATCGGCAAAAAGCGATATGAAAAATGTTTTGATTACTTGAATAATGTGTAAATAATTAATATTTTTCTAGAAAATTGACCTTTATTCTTAAAAAAATTAATAATATTTTTACTTTTTAAAAACAATTTTAATTTTTTTCTGAAGGTCTGCATTTCGGGTATAAACGTCCTTAACATTTTTTTAAGTTAAGTAGTTTTAAGTTACTTAAGTTTATTTTCTAACTATAACTCAAAGTTTCTTTCATATGTAACATTAAATTTTTTGTAAAACTCTAGATATTTATATAAAAAACGTGAAGGTTTCGTTTGTAATAATAAAAAAAAGTAGATACATTCACCGTCTCAAAATGAATGTGACTGAAAACAACTTTGTAAAAAATAAAATATACTTATAATGAATAGTTAGAATTTCGAGTATTATTAAACTTCACCTTTTCTTATGCAAAGTCTAATTTATTAATTTTATACCCGAAAGTAGCGATTGTAGAATATCGTCTTCCAGATCTTGTGTCATTTTTACGATTGTCTGCTTTTTTTGATAGTGACATAAATTATTTATGGATACACCCGTAACAAAATTTGCCTTCTTTTTCCATTTACCCCAATTTTGTTGTAAATCGGTACAACTTAAATTCGGCAAGTTCTCTAGCCCTATACTGGAACATATATATGTATATATAAATAAAATTTGTCATGAAAAAATGAAAAAAAGCAATATAAAATACATATATCAAAAGACACTTTGAAAATTCTTCTTCATATGTATATGAAAAAATTTCACAATTTACATCTAACAATTACACTCATTAAAAGAATTAGAATTGTTGAAAAATTTTATTTATTTTGTAAAATTTTCAAAGTTACTGTCTTTTTGGCAAATCATTTTAATAAATTTTTCTTCCCAACTGACCGATTTATATACATCAAAGTTCCAAATACGTGCTTGCATTTACCATTTGCTCCAGCTATACAAGAGCAATAAGGTATCATACTTTTTTTTTTAATTGTGATTACCACTTTGTAACAAGTTGTTTTATCTCGACAAGAAGACATACAAAGAGAAACAATTTTCATTTTGTCACTTACACGACTTTCAAAGCCACATTGAATAATACGTTTGTTTATTAATATTTGTTCTCCTTCTTTCAATGGGCGTTTTAAACCTCCTGCAAATTTAAAAATGTTTGCAAGACTAATATTTTTAATCATTATACATATACTACTCAAAAAATAATTTGTAAACATCTGACTGTAACGCAGAAATGTAAATATTTAGACGTCATAGCTCGTGTATGTATACATATATATGTATGTTTGTACTGATCGTGAACAACGCGCTATAATTTAAAAAGGATAAGCTTTTTTTGAAAGATTTCTTTTCTATAGGATAAATTAAAAACTACATTGTACAATTCTACAATATTTAGGGTGACATAACAATTAGTGAATTAATTATTTAAATAATTAATCTTTTTCCCATACATTATTTGAATTTTTTCCACTAACTCTAGTTCTCCCGCCATTCACCAGGGCGGCGACTCCATCATTTTGCTTCGCCAATATATATTCCTTAAATCGGTGAGGCTACACACATACGCATAATGTAATGGCTAAGCCGAATGACGTTCGGAATTGATCGGGCGGGCTCGTGTATCTTTGCGTGAATTAGAGAAACAAACTGAAAACGAACCGTGCGGGCCTCATCCAATGTTTTGACTTTTTTTCAGATAAAGTATATGAGCCGGTTTTTGAAACAATTCACTAATCGACAATATTTTTAAGGTTAAATTTAGAAATTTTAATTTAAATTAGTAATTAAAATACAATTTTAATTTATTATTTAAATTTCATTTTAAATTTTTATAAAATTTAGAATTCTAAATGTTCTCTCTTCGAATGCATAGTTGAATAAGTACGAAATTCGTTTACAATAAATCTTATCATAATTATTTTATAATAAGTAAAAAAAATTTCGATATTACAATATTATCTTTATTTATTTAATTCAGTTAAATCATAGATTAGTAATGTGAAATAATGTGCTTTTGTCAAAGTCATATTAAAAGAAAAATTAAATTCTTTTTATTATTTTGCCGTTAAAATTTTTGAAAGATATTTTTTGTAATATTATAATAAAATTTTAGAATTTAAAAATTTTACCTAATACTGACAACAATGTTTATAATTTAATTCTTAAGAATGTTCTCATTTTATTTAAAATTGAATCAATTTTTTATGTCTATTTAATAGTTTATAAAAAAATATAATTTTTTTTATATTATACTTTTAAATTTTCGATTTATAAATGCTTACACATTATAAGTAGCTTACATTTTTTAAAATATTAAATTTAAAAACATTTTGTCAAGAGATTAAATGTTTTAACTTAAAATAAATAAATAAAATAATCAATTTTAAAAAATATTTTATAGGTTTTTAAATCAGAAAAATTGTTTTTGTAAATTAATTAATTATTTTTTCTTTGGGCTTGTCCAAGTAAAAAATGATTTAATTTTAAATAAAATGAGAATATTCTTAAAATTTAAATTGTAAACATTGTTGTCAATACCTATTAAAATTACCCACAATTTAATACATTATTAATTTGTATAGAATATTCTATGGTGTTTAGTTTCACATTATTATTTATGTTTAACTAAATTAAATAAATAAAGATAATATTTATAAAAATTATGTCAGTTTTTTTTACTTTTCAATAGTGTTATCAAAAAAATTTGTTTTTCATTTTTTATTAAAAAAGTAACAATTTTTTATAAACAAATTAATTTTTTTTTAATTTGTATGTGATTTTTTTAAAACATACCTGGAAATAAGAAGAAGATTTAGTGAAAAAATTTAGTCAGCCAATAAGTTTTATATTTTTATGTATTTAAAAAAAAACACCACTTGCAGCATTGTGCACATTTTTGAATAGTAAAAAAAATTGATAAATTGTTAAAAATTATTTAAAAAATTTTTTTTTGAAACCTGAAATTTTATTTCACTATGAAAAATAAAAGAAAATTTTTTAACAATAATTTAACAATTTTTTTTACTTTTCAGAAATGTGCACAATGCTGCGCGCAGTGTTTAAATGTTTATTTAAACCTATAATCTTAGTTATTTCCAGTATTTCTTAGTATTTTCAGGTATGTTTAAAATTTTTTTTTAAAAATCATATTCCAATTTAAAAAAACTTAATTTGTTTATAAAATTTTTTTATTTTTTAATATAAAACGAAAAAAAAATTTCGTTAACATTATTGAAAAGTAAAAGATAAACTGGAACTTTTCTTCTCTTGGCAAAAATTGAAAAAATCCAGTTTTTTGTCTACATTTACAAAACTGAAATTTTGAAAATTTATAACTCGAAAATTTGCATAAAGAAAGTATCTTTTTTTCACTACAGAACACGAAAAAATTATATTTGGCTGAAATTAAAGGGTCGACTGAAATCTCACGTGAAATCACCCATATACGTTTAAGAAAAACATTTTTTAATTAAAAATTTATAATAATTATGATAAGATTTATTGAAAACGAATTTCGTACTTATATTCAACTATATGCATTCAAAGAGAGAACATTTAGAATTCTAAATTTTATAAAAATTTAAAATGAAATTTAAATAATAAATTAAAATTGTATTTTAATTACTAATTTAAATTAAAATTTCTAAATTTAACCTTAAAAATATTGTCGGTTAGTGAATTGTTTCAAAAACCGGCTCATATACTTTATCTGAAAAAAAGTCAAAACATTGGATGAGGCCCGCACGGTTCGTTTTCAGTTTGTTTCTCTAATTCACGCAAAGATACACGAGCCCGCCCGATCAATTCCGAACGTCATTCGGCTTAGCCATTACATTATGCGTATGTGTGTAGCCTCACCGATTTAAGCAATATATATAGCTAACCACCTAAGCTTCGATAATTTGACCGCGAGGGGGCAGACTTTAATAGAAAAGCGCGATTTGCATTACGTGCTTACTCTCAATTCCTCCACAATTCCTCTCTGTAAATATATATATATATATTATATATATATATACTATATAATATATATTATAAATAAATAAATTAAAATAATTTCTTCAAAAATTTTGAAGAATTTAGAAGAATTTTTTGCCGAAAAAATAAAAATGAATTCAATTCACTTTTTTTACGTATATAGTATATCAAATGAAAAGAAATAATTCACTCACTTGAAAGTTATAAGTCGCATAACAAACTTTTGCGGTGAAAATTTTTGAACTGTGAAATAGAATTTTTTCAAAATTGATACAAATTAATTTAAAGTTTAAATTACGGTGTGAAAGGATATTTCTTTTCAAAGGAAAAAATAAAAGTTTAGGAAGAATTTTCCATTTCAAATAAAACATTATATATAGATAATATATTTACATATGAGGCAAAATTCCTGAAATGTCCGAACAAAAAATTAAAAGTTCTCGAATTTAATCCATACTTTTCTAAAATGTTGTTATTGTTGGTGAAAGTCTAAAAATCAATTATTATTGAATTTAATAAAATAGTTTTTGAATTACAACGTTCTTAATTTTTGACTTTTGAAAAAAAAATTTTTTTTCAATGTACAATATTTATAAGTAGAATGCATAAAAGTTAACATATATATAATGATTTTTAAAGCTTTTTTGACGAGCTACACGCTGTTAATAAAAATTTTTTTTTTTAAATAACATTTGACCTTGAAATTCAAGGTCAAAATGTTAATTTACGTTTATCTCAAAATCGGATTTTTTAAAATTATTTTTAACTATCTCAATGGAAAGCTTGACTAATTTCCTACAAAACATGTAATTTTCAGAGTGGGATCTTTTAAAGTTTTTGAGATATTAATTAATTAATTAATTAATGTTTATAACAAATGAAATATTTTACAAACGAATAAAGTTACCGTAATTCTGAAGTTAGTAATTGAAAGTTAAAGTAATTCCGCATCCAACGAGCCCTATATGAAGTATTTTGGATAAGTAGATTGTTAATAAACAATTAGTTAACATTGCAATTGTTTATAACCAATCTACTTATCCAAAATACTTCATATAGGGCTCGTTGGATGCGGAATTAGCTTAACTTTCAATTGGTTAGTTTAGATTTATGATAACTTTATTTGTTTGTAAGATATTTCATTTTTTATTGTTATTTAACTAAAATTGAACAAAAATACTTCATATAGGGCTTTTGGATGCTTGTTGTTAGTAAAAAATAAAATATTTTACAAACAAATAAAGTTATGGTAATTCTGAACTTACCAATTGAAAGTTAAGGTAATTCCACATCCAACGAGCCCTATATGAAGTATTTTGTATAAGTAGATTGTTAATAAACAATTGCAATGTTAACTAATTGTTTATTAACAATCTACTTATCCAAAATACTTCATATAGGGCTCGTTGGATGCGGAATTACGTTAACTTTCAAATACTAACTTAAGAATTACGGTAACTTTATTCGTTTGTAAAATATTTCATTTGTTATAAACATTAATTAATTAATTAATTAATATCTCAAAAACTTTAAAAGATCCCACTCTGAAAATTACATGTTTTGTAGGAAATTAGTCAAGCTTTCCATTGAGATAGTTAAAAATAATTTTAAAAAATCCGATTTTGAGATAAACGTAAATTAACATTTTGACCTTGAATTTCAAGGTCAAATGTTATTTAAAAAAAAAAATTTTTATTAACAGCCTGTAGCTCGTCAAAAAAGCTTTAAAAATCATTATATATATGTTAACTTTTATGCATTCTACTTATAAATATTGTACATTGAAAAAAATTTTTTTTTTCAAAAGTCAAAAATTAAAAACGTTGTAATTCAAAAACTATTTTATTAAATTCAATAATAATTGATTTTTAGACTTTTACCAACAATAACAACATTTTAGAAAAGTATGGATTAAATTCGAGAACTTTTAATTTTTTGTTCGGACATTTCAGGAATTTTGCCTCATATATATATATATGAAATATACTTCAAAAAATTATTATAATTATTATTATGTATATTGCAAAATAATAAAAATTTTCACAAATTATATTTTCCCATCTCGTTATTTTGCAGGTCAGTCGTATAAAATATGTATAACGATAAAGCTTCAAAAATTAAAATTAATTGAATTATTTACTTTGAAAATTGAAATGAATTGTAAATTAGGTTTTAATTCCATTGTCCAAAGTTTTCATTGAAAATGAATTACTTTAGTAGTACGTGTGCTTTTAATTTATATTCGTTTTAACCAATTTTCATTCACGTTTTAAATTAAAAATTTAAACATCATATATTTAAAAAATTATTACAATTTATATAAATTAGATTTTTAAAATAATTAATAGTAAAAGAAAAATTATTAATTTTTGTCTTGTGTCTAGTTTGATAAAAAAAAATTTCTAAATAAGAAATATATATATATATGTATATAGTTATAATTATAAGTATGTAAAATATTATAATTAGTAAAAGCAGAATGTCTACATTGAAATATTTGAAAATTAATAGTTACATAATAATTGTAATCAGAGAATAATGAGAGAAGAGTCAAGTTACCTATTTTTTTTTTTTTAAATGTTTTCTAGTTAGTAAAATGGATAGCGTTACGTAAACGAATTTTATTTTCAATTCTCTTATTTTCTCTTAAATTGGATTAAGCATTCATTAAAAAAGAATATTGTACTGATTTTCAACAAAAGTCCTGCTTTAAATTGGCTTTTATATATACTGAAAAAACTAAATTTATTATTTAAAAAAAAAATCAGTTATAATTGACCGTTATCAAATAAAGTATTTATTTAAAGCTAATCATTTTTATTTAAATCAAATAAAGTGCAAACAAATAATAATAATAATCATAAATATTATTTTTCACTTTGTATTACATTCTTTTTGACACGTTAAAAACAGTTTTATTTATGTAAGTTCAAATTCTGCTATACTCAATATATATAATATTTATTACGAAATGTCAGGTTGCCAATTCTTATCGACAAGTCCTGAAACACCAATACGACCTAAAAATAAATTCTTATTTGTGGCAAAATTGTAACAAACTCTATCTCTATACAAATATTTTATAAATCTTTAGAAAAATATATTTTTTTTAATTTAAAAAAAAGTGATTGAAATTTTCTCATTGTCCAGAGAAAAAAAATTGTTTTTCTTATATTACAAAAAATATATATCCTTCTCTCTTTCACTGTATGCGCAACTATTTATAATTCAGAAGAATAAATTATTCCTTTGACATGTAAAGAAATTCTCTTCGAATCAAATAAAACACCTTTCGTTATAAAAAAAAAATCGTATCATTCATTTAAAAAAAAAATAAATAAATTTATCTTTGACTTTCATTTTCTTCTTTGGTCCAAGAATTGTTTTCTTTTTGAAAAATCCATTTTATTAATCGAAAAAGCGTCAAAAAAGCTATTGAAAGTGATATTGATAAATAAATTTTATTTTATCATTTAAAAAAAAAAAAAAAAATTATTAAATGAAACGGTATCCCGAACCCTCTCTCGTTTCACACAGTAAATATTGATCTATAGGGTAAGTGAATCAATTACTGCTGATGCCCCAATTACTGCGATTTTTATTAAATTAATAAAACTTACTAATTGAAAATAAAAAACTATTTCAAAATGACTTCAAAATTATTTCAAATGATATTTGATATTATATCCACTAAAGATGCATATTTCGACTATTATATCAAATTAGTTATATTCAAGTTTCAATTGTAACTATCACAGTAATTAGAGCATGCGCATATTTTTCTCGTGCTGCTATTACTGTGGTCTATCTAGTCAATCTAAACTCTAAATCAACGCTTTTAGTGCTGAAGTAATTGGTGCACATACGATACGCAGTAATTCATGTAAACCTGCAATAATACCAGCATATGCCATTTTTAAAAAAGTTAATATTGTTAATAATTTTTTTTTTTTTTTTCCAGTTTAAAGTATAGTTTCTACTTCAATAGATAATATAATAGTGATTTAACAAAAAGAAGTACCAAAATTCAAAATTTTCAAAACTCGATTTTCTAATAATTCCAACTTTTTACGCTAAGAAATTTTTTTGTTAAAACACTTTGTTCTGTCTACCAAATTTTTTGGTTCTTACATCACTGTTATTTGGTTGAGCAATCAAAAAATTTGTTTAATTCAAAAAAAAAAATAAATAATTTGTTAAATGAACCAAATTCTTTTTCCATTCTCGCTTGTATTTTTAATTTCTATATTAATTTTATCATTTTTATTATTCTTAATATTTATTTTGTTCCTTTTATATAATTTAATATTTCTATAACTATATACGTTTACTGAAACTAATTTTTAACACGAAAAAATTTAACACTTCTAGGGAACGAACCCTCAAACTACACAACACAAGTCGAGAACGCTAACCACTAGACTATTGAATCTTATAGTCATAAAATGTATTTTAAAATTTTTGCAATATAATTTTCGAACTTCATTGATGTAAAGAAATATTCTTTGATTTAAAAAAACTGTTCGTTGAGTTTATAATTTAATTTCAAGTTTATATATATATATATATATATATATATATATATATATATATATATAAATAAATAATAAATAATAATGCTTTTAAAACTGAAAATTAGGAAAATAGAATAGTAATTATTATTTCTCATTAAAATATTTAATTAATATTAATTATTATAATATACATCTTACCTTATTGAAAAAGCTTTCATCGGTCTCGTAATTAGCATCCACCTTTCTATTGCCATAACTGTTAAATTTCCTATACTCGCCAAACCAAGTGTAGACATGAGCCACGCATACCTTGAAATTATAAAAAAAAAATTAAATTAATTAATTTCATCAAAATATGATTTTAAATAATAATAATAATAATTTAATTATTTTTACATAGAAAAATTATTATTATATTATATTTATTAATATATATTATTATATTATATATTATATTATATATTGTAATATATATTATTAATATAATTTTTCTTATTTATTTAAAGAAATATATATGACAAAAAATATCATGACTAAAAATTATTAATAAATAATTAAATTAAAAAAATAATACAGTGCCGCTCAATAATATTTTCCCACCTTGCAGCATATCAGGGGAGGGGGAATTTACTCTGGTAGTCAAGTGTACACTTGCCTAGTAATACTCGGTAATACCTGTAATATCTGTAATATTTTGTAATGTCTTGTAATAATAAGTATTATTGTGTAATATCATGTAATACAGTGTAATACATGTAATATTGTGGTATTATGGTGTAATAACTTAAAAAATTTAAAGAAAATCAAACCAAAAAATGTTAATATAAGTAAAAATTTTAAACACTTATTCAAATGTAGCGCGGGAGTTGATGCTGAAGTATAAAGGCACTCTCACACCTTTTTGGCTGCCTGCAGATTACCATGGCAACGCATGAGAGTGAGTGCGACAGAAAATTTAAAAATTTAAATATTCAAATTTTCTGTCTCACTCACACTTGTACGTTGCCATGGTAACCTGCAGGCAGGCAGCCAAAAAGAAAAGGTGTTCTTCAGTAATAATTGGCCGAATTTTAGCTTTTAGCTACCTTACCGGAATAAGTAAAAAAATCGAGTACACTAAGACATCTGCTCCTGTAATTACACCGAAACAAAATGCACGAGGCTTAGGTAGTTTGACTTAAGGTCCCTTTCACCGTGGAGCGTCACATATAGAAAATTATATCTGTTCAGTTTCTCGTCCAAAGTTAAAAACAAATAAGTTATACACTGAAAGAAATTTCATAGGAAAAAATAACAAAATGCGTATTACATTTTAATATATTCTTTTAGAATTTAGGGAAAAGTGTACTTTTTATTAAAATTCAATATACTTTATATTAAAGTTCCAACTTAAAATCTTTTTTCAAATATTAATAATTATTGTAGAAAGAACGTAAAAAGATTACCAATATTTGAAAATATTATATTAAATTCTCATAGAGTTGTTGCATTATATGGAATGTAGCGTTCTAATATTTGTAAAACTTTATACGAAAAATTCAGAATGTCGGAAGAAAAGGGAAAAAAAGTGGAAACTCGGACGTTTCCGTTAATTCTCGGGAGGAAGAGGAGTGAGACTAGGAACAACACATTCACACTTACGATACAGGTTAACACACATACTAATGAACACGCACGTTCATTTCGCTTATACATAGACATTACACGATCGCAACGAAACCTACACTTACAATTCTACACGCATAACGATAAATTTCGCTGGGGGTCGGCATATATCGTTTTCTTATATACTAACTACTGAATATTTTTACCACTTGCGAGAAAGAAGTTTACTTATAATAACTTAATAATAAAAAATAGTTTACTAGTGCCAATGGTGTAATTTTATAGAGGTTACGCTGGGTTCATTTTTATTATTAATTGTTTATATAGATTTTTCTTTTTTTTCAGATTAAAAATTATGATTGTTATAAAAATTTTTATTGCAAATAAAAATTAAATAATTGTAAAGATGACATCAAAAAATAAAAATTAATAAAAATAATAATAAATTTAATAATTATAAATGTTTTCTGTGGCACTATAAACATTTGAAACACGTGTGTTGACAGTTGATAGGTACGTTCTGCTGGTTAACAACACTTTCGAAAATCGGATCAAGTCGTAGAAGTTCGAGTAGGACACGAAGCCGCAAACAGACAGAACTTCGGTTAAATTCGTAGTCTCTCGGGAAAATCCGTGACTTTTAATATAAAGTTTTACAAAATGTGAAATAAGTATACGGATATATGTTATTTTTCTTACTATTTTGTGAAATTATTTATTATAATATTTCGTATTCTGTGAATTCATAAAGAAAATACTAATTTTTAAAATAAATATACTAATTCTTATTTCTTAAAATAATAAAAACTCTTAAATTCATTATATATTTTCATAAAAACTGTAATAGTAATCAGTATAGGTGCACTTTTTCCCTAAATTGTAACATTTATATTAAACTCTAATATGAGTTTAATACTTAGTAGTATGAATTTTCTTTCAGTGTATTTATCGTGTTCTTTAAAAGTGTTCTTACAAAAGAGAAAATTAAAAAAAAAAAATTTTTTTTTCATTGTTTAATTATTTAAAAGGAAAAAAAAAATTTTCAATTTTTTTTTTTTGTAAATTTTAAATTGATACACTTTGTGCAGAAATGATCAGAATTTAATTCCAGATACGACATTTTTAAGCTTATTTTATCATCTTTACAACGCTTTTTTGAAAATTTTCCAACGATGATTTTTGAGCAAGATATGACCATTTATTTAAAAAAAAAAAAACTTTTTTCAATTGTCGATAACTTATGAACAATTGACTTTTGAAAAAAATTGTTTCAAGAAAAAATGTTTCTTATTATGTGTAGAATTAGGAAAAAAATATTTAAAAATTTTTATAAATAATTTTTTTTCGTCTCATTTTGACCTCATATATTTGTCATAAAAATATATAAGGTCAAAATGAGACGAAAAAAAATTATTTATAAAAATTTTTAAATATTTTTTTTTCCTAATTCTACACATAATAAGAAACATTTTTTCTTGAAACAATTTTTTTCAAAAGTCAATTGTTCATAAGTTATCGACAATTGAAAAAAGGTTTTTTTTTTAAATAAATAGTCATATCTTGCTTAAAAATCATCCTAGGAAAATTTTCAAAAAAGCGTTGGAAAGATGATAAAATAAGCTTAAAAATGTCGTATCTAGAATTAAATTCTGATCATTTCTTCACAAACTGTATCAATTTAAAATTTACAAAAAAAAAAATTGAAAATTTTTTTTTCCTTTTAAATAATTAAACAATGAAATTTTTTTTTTTTTTAATTTTCTCTTTTTGTATCGTTCAAGTCAAAGATATAAGCTTTAAGATGAATATTTGACGAAGATTATATCATTATTAGAATTAAAGATACAAAACTTTTTGTAAAGACTTGATATGCCGTAAGGTGGGCAAATATTATTAAGCGGCAGTGTATATAAATAAATAAAAGTAAAATAAAAACATTACTTTGAGTAGAGAGAGAGAAATTATTTAAACTTTTTACTTTCGAATAAAACGAAAATGTTCCATTACGTCCGGGTCTTTTATATATTGATTTCTATGACTATAGAAATTTTAGCAAAATAGAAAATTTAGGTATAATTTTCATGCTCCATAAAACGAATCAAAAGCTAAAAAATTTTATATTTTCAGAAAGGCTATACAATGTTTTTTTTCTCGAAACTCATTAATTAATTATATATTAATTATATATCTACATTCTAAAATTTATTTTTCACATTATTATATGCAGTTTTCATTTTTACATTATAAAGAATATTTTGTAATTTACTTCAGAATAAATACTATGTACATAATTATTATTATCTTCTGACGCAAAAAAAAATCCTTGTAAAGAACAGTAACAAAAATGTTCTTTACAATAATTATTTTTGCGTACTATGTTCTTCTAATGTTATAATAAAGAAAATAGGTTCATGCCTTTGTGTATATACATCGTCTAATTGAACGAGATAATTTATTTTCTTATTGGGGATAATAAAATAAGCTAAGATCGAGCTTTGTGGTTGAAGCAAAATTTAATAATTCCTTATAGAGAAAATAATCAAATAATCTTAGGGCTTTGTAAAAATAAGTTAAATTGTATTAAATAATTTTATCTTATTAAAGCAATGTTGTTTCAAGTAAGTTTTTAATCATATTTTCTGTAATTCGTATAGTTATTCAAACAATGATAATTATATATACATAATTAACTGAAAGTTGGATATATATATATATAGTTGCACAAAAGGAATTTTTCAAAATATTTTTTTTATTTTTTGTAGTGATGATATTTAAAACTTGATATGATATTTTAATTTATTACAAGCTAGTACTGTAAATATATGAAAAATTTGAATCATTAAACATTGGTTTATATTACGATAACTTATACGTAGATTATGTTGACTATTAGTCTACAAGAAATTATAAATCAATATTTATCAATGAATTTCTCAAAAAGTTAGTTTTTGAAACAATCGTTTATTAAGATTGAAAAGTAACAAAAAAAATCTGTGCTATTTATCACTTTTTGAAGAATCTTTTATTTAAAACATGTAGTCTTTCTCTTAACGGTCTACTAATTTTACAAACAAATCAAATTTAAAGCTACATGTAATTGTATGGAATTTTAGTTTGACGAATGAAACTATAGCCAGCTCTCCTGAGTATTTCCATTCTGGGCACTACATAATTCAAGTCCAGTTCGGTAAAACGTACGTACAATTCTAATCATATTTGTTTTCAGGATTGAAGTACTTTTTTATCAACTTATACCTTTTATATATACGAGACCGACCGCGCGCTACAGCGCGCGGATTTTTTGTACTTTCTTTACGATTAATTAATTATTTCCTACATTAATATTAGTTAGGTTTATAGTTTAATCTGAAGTTGTTATTTATTATATTGTAGTTCCTTCATTTTTGATAATTTCAAAATATGTCGATATAATGAAAGTATTGTAAAAATAAAGAAAAGTACAATTGACAATTGCTTGAAAGAAAAATACTTAACTATGAAGTGAACAGTTAAGGATTTGAATTATATATAATAATTGAGTAATAAAAATAAACCCTCATATAAAAGTAAATATTCGCTTGGTTAGTGGAAAAAAAGGACACGTCGAATTTTCTTTGAAAAAGAGGACACGTTGCTTTTTAGTTGAAGAAAAGGACACATCGAAAATAATGTTAAAGTTAATGAAGTAAGTAACGATATGTTCA